ACCCTTGATGAGGTCATTCAGACACTGTGTTGGGATGCAGATCAAAGGCAAAATCCAAGAGAGCCATTAGGCTACTCTGGAGATCCAGAGGAGAGACTGGGCAATGCGTGAGAGGCAGGGAGATGGGGTGGACATACATTCTGAAGGCCAATAGCAGCTGCTGGCAGATGGCATGGGATGGGATGGGATAAGGACAGCCATGAAAGATGGTGCCAAGCCGGGAGCGGCTGCTTATGCCTGGAATCCCAGCAATTTGGGAGACCAAGGCAGGCAGATCACCTGAGGTCGGGAGTTTGAGACCAGCCTGACCAATATGGCGAAACCCCATCTCTACTGAAAATAAAAAATTAGCTGGGCATAGTGGCCCATGCCTGTAATCCCAGCTACTTAGGAGGCTGAGGCGGGAAAATCCCTTGAACCCGGCAGGCGGAGGTTGCAGTGAGCCAAGATCGCACCACTGCACTCCAGCCTGGGCAACAGAGAGAGACTCTGCCAAAAAAAAAAAAAAAATGGCACCAAAGTCCTTGGCCCATCTGGAAGGATTGGCTAAATAAAGTGCAGCCTGGAGATGGCATATTATGCAGCTGAAACAGCTTCAGCGGGAGTGGAAAGCTGGGCACAAGTGAAGGACCTGAGGGATTAGGATATTTGAAAGATGATCTCTGTGTAAGTTGGGCTTTTTGTTTTTTTCCATTTTGCTTTTAGACACAGGGTCTTGCTCTGTCACCAAGGCTAACGTGCAGTGGCACAATCACCACTCACTGCAGACTTGACCTCCAAGGCTTAAGCAATCCTCCTGCCTCAGCCTCCCAAGTACCTAGGACTACAGGCACATGCCATCACACCCAGCTAATACTTAATTTAATTTTTTCTTTTTTTTGAGATGGGGTCTTGCTCTGTCGTCCAAGCTGGAGTGCAGTGGTACAATCTCAGCTCACTGCAAGCTCCACCCCCCAGGTTCAAGAGATTCTCCTGCCTCAGCCTCCTTAGTAGCTGGGACTACAGGCACATGCCACCACACCCAGCTAATATTGTGTACTTTTAATAGAGATGGGATTTCACCACGTTGGCCAGGATGGTCTCGATCTCCTGACCTTGTGATCTGCCCACCTCAGCCTCCCAAAATGCTGGGATTACAGGCGTGAGCCACTGTGCCCGGCCTTGCTTGCAATGTTGCCCAGGTTGGAATACAGTGGCACAAACTCGCCTCACTGCAACCTCCATCTCCTGGACTTAAGCCATCATCCCGCCTCAGCCTCCAGAGTAGCTGGGACTACAGGCACGCGCAACCATACCCAGCTAATTTTTGTATTTTTTGTAGAGACAGGATTTTCCTCTGTTGGCCAGGCTCATCTCAAACTCAAGCGCAAGTCTGCCCGCTTCAGCCTCCCAAAGTGCTGGGATTACAGGCATGAGCCACCCTGCCCGGCCTAATATTTCAATTTTTTTTGTAGTGATTGGGTCTTCCTATTTTGCCCAGGCTGGTCTTGAACTCCTGGCCTCAAGCAACCCTCCCTCCTCAGCCTCCTAAAGTGCGGGGGTTACAGGTGTGAGCCACTGTGGCTATGTATTTTGAAATCCCCAATAATTCTGGCAAGTGTAGCATTAAACATGGTAGGAACCACCGACAGGCATCTTCAAGGAGGTATAGGTGTTTACGGTAGATAATTGTAATCCAGAAGGCAGAGTGGAATGTATCTGAAGAAACAGCTGCTGTTTAGTAAGGAGAGGGGAGAAAAGTTTAGGGAAGGCGAAATGTCAAGAAGATGTTGTCCCCCTTTGTCCCAGCTCCATGCCATGAAGGCTGCCGGGATCCACATTGCCTGGGACAGTTGAAGGGGTAGACAGTGCTGTAGGAAGGAGGGATCTGGTTTCCATTAGATGTAGAGGATGGAAGGTGTTGGTTGGAAGGTTAAGGATATAGGGGATTTTTATTCTGGCTGAGCCTACACTCCAAAGGACACAGAGGAGGCTGGGCGCGGTGGCTCACACCTATAATCCCAGCACTTTGGGAGGCCTAGGTGGGCGGATCACTTGAGGTCAGGAGTTCAAGACCAGCCTGGCCAGCATGGTGAAACTCCATTTCTATTAAAAATACAAAAATTAGCCAGACATGGTGGCAGGCACCTGTAACCCCAGCTACTCAGGAGGCTGAGGCAGGAGATTCACTTGAACCCGGGAGGCAGAGGTTGGAGTGAGCCTGGATTACACTACTGCACTGCAGCCTGGGAGACAGAGTGAGACTCTGTATCAAAACAAAAACAAAAACAAAAACAAACAAGGCCAGGTGTGATGGCTCAGGCCCATAATCCCAGTAGCTTGGGAGGCTTAGGTGAGTGGATCACCAAAGGTCAGGCGTTCCAGACCAGCATGGCCAACATGGGGAAACCCTATCTCTACTAAAAAGGCAAAAATCAGCCGGGTGTGGTGACGCATGCCTCTAATACCAGCTACTCAGGAGGCTGAAGCACGAGAATCCTTTGAACCCGGAAGGCAGAGGTTGCAGTGAGCTGAGATCGTGCCACTGTACTCCAACCTGAGCGACAGAGCAAGACTCTGTCTCAAAAAGCGAAAGACAAAAGGCAACCAAAAAACAACAGCAACACATGACAGTGCTGGAAGCTGAATTCTAAAACTGAGAGTATGCAGGGCTGGGTCCTCCGAAGGCCCTGCAGGAGCACCTGCTCCTCGCTCCTGTCCTGGTTTCCGGGGGTTGCCTCCCTCATGCCATTGTCCCTGTGTGTGTCTGCGTCTCCTTTCCTCTTCTCATCAGGCCCCACCCTAATCCAGCATGAATTACTGGAGTTAATATTTAACTTGAGAGAGGGGGAAGCCATTGTAAAAACCTGATTTCCAAATATGTTCCCATGGGCAGGTCCTGGGAGTCACCATTGGAACCTATCTTTTTGGAGGACATAATTCAACCCTCAACAGATGGCAGCTTATTCAAAATCAGATCCCTGGGCCCCTCCCTGGGTCTAATGAATTGCAACCTCCAGGGTTGGAATTTCCAAGCTTCCTGTTGTCACAGAGACCAGTCTGGAGAGGGGTAGCGCCATCTGGAAGGGCCTCGGAGCCACTCGAGGCACCAGCACTGTGTCTGGGCCTGGACATGAGCCCTCCACAGTTTTCCTGCAGTGACCCCACAGCCCATTCAAGGCTTGGCTTAGCTTCCTGTCCCGAGGGCAGCCTTGTCGTCACTTTATCAAATTTTGAGTGTGCCATCCCATTATTTAAATGCTCTCGCAGAGCAGACAAATTTTATTTATTTATTTACTTATTTCGAGACAGGGTCTTGTTCTGCCACCCAGGCTGGAGTGCAGTGGCGTGATTACAGCTCACTAAAGCCTCAAAGCCTCAACTTCCTGGGCTCAAACATCCTCCCAGCCTCTGAGTAGCTGGTGCATACCCCCAGGCCCACTTAATTTTTTTTTGAGACAGGGTCTTACTTTGTCACCCAGGCTGGAGTGCAGTGGTGCGATCTTGGCTCACTGCAGCCTTGACCTTCCAGGTTCAAGAGATCCTCCCACTTCAGCCTCCTGAGTAGCTGGGACTACAGGCACATGCCACCACGTCTGGCTAATTTTTGTATTTTTAGTAGAGATGGGGTTTTGCCATGTTGCTCAGGCTGGTCTCAAACTTCTGAGCTCAAGTGATTCACCTGCCTCCGCCTCCCAAAGTGCTAGGATTATAGGCATGAGCCACTGCACCCAGTCAAAAAACAATTTTTTTTTTTCTTAGAGACAGGATCTTGCTTTTTTGCCCAGGCTAGTCTCAAACTCCTGGGCTCAAGGGATCCCCCTGCCTAGGCCTCCCAAAGCTCTGGGATTATAGGCGTGAGCCACCACGCCCAGACAAGCAAAAGAATTTTAAATTAAATAATAGGCCAGGCGGGTGGCTCACGCCTATAATCCCAGCACTTTGGAAGGCTGAGGTGGATGGATCACTTGAGGTCAGGAGTTGTACACCAGCCTGGCCAACATGGTGAAACCCCATCTCCACTAAAAATACAAAAATTAGCCAAGCATGGTGGCGTGCACCTGTAATACCAGCTACTCAGGAGGTTGAGGCAGGAGAATCACTTGAAACAGGGAGGCAGAGGTTACAGTGAATTGAGATCGTGCCACTGCACTCAGGCCTGGGGGACAAAGCAAGACCCTGTCTCAAGGAAAAAAAAAAAATTAAAAAAAAAAAAAAGATAGACCGTCCTTTATTGGCAAGCTTATCCGTAAACTAAATAATCAAAAAGAAAAAAACCACACAAGTCTTATGAGGATGAAAAGTGAGGCCGGGCGCGGTGGCTCACGCCTGTAATCCCAGCACTTTGGGAGGCCGAGGCGGGCGGATCACAAGGTCAGGAGATCGAGACCACGGTGAAACCCCGTCTCTACTAAAAATACAAAAAATTAGCCGGGCGCGGTGGCGGGCGCCTGTAGTCCCAGCTACTCAGGAGGCTGAGGCAGGAGAATGGCGTAAACCCAGGAGGTGGAGCTTGCAGTGAGCCGAGATCGCGCCACTGCACTCCAGCCTGGGCGACAGAGCGAGACTCCGTCTCAAAAAACAAAAACAAAAACAAAAAAAAAAAGTGAATGTCCGGCTGGGGGTGGTGGCTCACACTATAATCCCAGCCCTCTGGGAGGCCGAGGGGGACAGATCTCCTGAGCTCAGGAGTTCAAGACCAGCCTGGCCAACATGGAGAAACCCCCGGCTCTACTAAAAATACAAAAAATTAGCCGGGCGTGGTGGCACACACCTGTAATCCCAGCTACTCGGGAGGCTGAGGCAGGAGAACTGCTTGAACCCAAGAGGCAGATGTTGCAGTGAACTCAGATCGTGCCACCGCACTCCAGCCTGGGCAACAGAGCGAGACTACATCTCAAAAAAAGAAAAAAAAAAAGTGAATGTCCCTGGTACAGTGTACTTTAAAAATGGTTCCTGTCTGTGAACTTATGCAAATCAAGCTTCTATTAATGAAGACTGAAATGGAAATGAAGAGAGAGTAGCTTTTTTCTTTCCACTTTTATAGGTCAAGATCATTTCCCTTCACAAAGGGAGCAAAAAGAAAGGGTGATGACATGTCAGCCCTGGACTCCCACTTCCCCACATGAGGCTGGCTTCTGGCCCCGCGATGGTTTTTGGACCACGAAGAGAAGGCCTCTGGCCCTGAGGGTCAAATTGACCAATCAGCAGAGACATCTGTAAGAGGATGCCCCAGAGGGTGCCTTCACCTCCAAATACACCTTCGCTTTCTTCAAGTCGAAGATTTCTCCATGAAAGCCTGTTTGGGAAAAACAAACAGACACAGTCTCTGTCACGCCGGTTGGAGTGCAGCAGTGCAATCTCGGCTCGCTGCAGCCTCCACCTCTCAGGTTCAAGTGATTCTCATGCCTCAGCCTCCCAAGTAGCTGGGACTACAGGCTCGAGCCACCACACTGGGCTAATTTGTGTGTTTTTTTTTTTTTTTTTTTTGAGATGGAGTGTCGCTCTGTCCCCTAGGCTGGAGTACAGTGGCGCGATCTCGGCTCACTGCAAGCTCCGCCTCCTGGGTTCATACCCTTCTCCTGCCTCAGCCTCCCGAGTAGCTGGGACTACAGATGCATGCCACCACGCCCGGCTAATTTTTTTTGTATTTTTAGTAGAGACAGGGTTTCACTGTGTTAGCCAGGATGGTCTTGATCTCCTGACCTCATGATCCTCCCACCTCAGCCTCCCAAAGTGCTGGGATTAAAGGCGTGAGCCACCGCGCCTGGCTAATTTGTGCATTTTTAATAGAGACAGGGTTTCACCATGTTGCCCAAGCTGGTTTTGAACTCCTGGCCTCAAACGATTCACCCTCCTCAGCCTCCCAAAGTGCTGGAATTACAGGCGTGAGCCACTGTATCAGGTCTTTAAAAAAAAAAAAAAAAGTGTTCTTCCCCATCTACAAAGGAGAGTCTGGCTGGGTGCAGTGGCTCACGCCTGTACCCCCAGTACTTTGGGAGGCTGAGGTGGGCGGATCACCTGATGTCAGGAGTTCGAGACCAGTCTTGCTAACATGGTGAAACCCTCTCTCTACTAAAAATACAAAAATTAGATCGATGTGGTGGCGTGTGTCTGTAATCCCAGCTCCTTGAGCAGCTGAGGCAGGAGAATCGCTTGAACCCGGGAGGCGGAGGTTGCAGTGAGCAAAGATTACACCACTGCACTGCAGAATGGGCGACAGGGTAAGACTCCGTCTCAAAACAACAAATAAATAGGCTGGGCGCGGTGGCTCACACCTGTAATCCCAGCACTTTGGGGGGCTGAGGCAGGTAGATCACCTGAGGTCGGGTGTTCAAGACCAGCCTAACCAACATAGAGAAACCCCGTCTCTACTAAAAATACAAAATTAGCCTGGCATGGTGACGCATGCCTGTAATCCCAGCTACTTGAGAGGCTGAACCAGAAGAATTGCTTGAAACCGGGAGGTGGAGGTTGCGGTGAGCCGAGATTGCACCATTGCACTCCAGTCTGGGTAACGGAGTGAGACTCCGTCTCAAAAATAAATAAATAAATAAGTAAATAAATATAAAAAGGAGAATTCTCATGAAATTTTCAAAGAGGCATGGATGAGAAAATAATTGTTGGTGTCTGTGCAGCCCTGGGCAGGGGAAGACATCCTGCTTCTAGAAGGCTGCTGCCGGTTGTCTAGACCAGAGTTGTCAACCTCAGCACTCCTAACATTTGAGGCCAGACCATTCTTCGCGGTGGGAGCTGACTGTGCACTACAGGATGCTTAGCGGCCTCCTTGGCCCCTACCCACTAAATGTCAGCAGCAACCCCTAATTTTTTTTTTTTTTTTTTTTTTTTTAGAGACGGGATCTTGCTGTGTTGCCCAAGCTAGTCCACCTCCCAATATTGACAACCAAAAACATCCCCAGACCCAAAGTTCCCCTGGAGGCAAAATTGCTCCTGGTTGAGAGTTACTGGTCTAGAATGAAACATGCTTAGTGGTCACACACTCTAGTTTGTTCCAGTTCTCTGCTCAATCAGCAGTTTCCTCACTGCAGGGTGGTTTCCAGAGCAGACATGCCCAGCCGAGCAAAGGCGATTCATGACGTCGATGATATTCAGATTTCATAGACCTTCTTTCTACCCCTCCCCCAAGCACTGCCCCAACCACACAGTATTCTTTTATTCTTTTTAATTTTTCTTTTGATTAAATAGAGGTGGGGTCTCACTATGTTGCCCAGGCTGGTCTGGAACCCCTAGGCTCAAGCAATCCTCCCACCTTGGCCTCCCAAAGTGCTGGTATTATGGGCCTGAGCTACTGTGCCCACCCAATACACACTATGCTTTTTCTTTCTTTTCTTTCTTTCTTTCTTTTTTTTTTTTTTTTTGAGACAGAGTCTTGCTCTGTCACCCATGCTGGAGTGCAGTGGCAAGATATTGGCTCACTGTAACCTCTGTCTCCTGGGTTCAAGTGATTCTCTTGTCTCAGCCTTCTGAGTAGCTGGGATTACAGGCACGTACCACCGTGCCCAGCTAAGTTTTGTATTTTTAGTAGAGACAGGGTTTCACCATGTTGGCCAGGCTAGTCTCGAACTCCTGACCTCAGGTGATCCACCTGCCTCAGCCTCCCAGTGCTGGGAATACAGGTGTGAGCCACCGCACCCGGCCACACTATTCTTGAAATGCAAACAGGTCCCTACCATTGGTATAATACAACCCTCTCCCCCAAACCCCTATTCCAGAAACATTTTTGTTTAATCCCAATTGCTGTCTTAAAGAATCAGTAATGGCCAGCTGCAGTGGCTCACGCCTGTAATCCCAGCACTTTGGGAGGCCCAGGCAGGCAGATCCCCTGAGGTCAAGAGTTCAAGACTAGCCTGGCCAACGTGGTGAAACCCAGCCTCTAGTAAAAATGCAAACATTAGCCGGGCATGGTGGTGCGTGCCTGTAGTCCCTGCTACTTGGTAGGCTGAGACATGAGAATCGCTTGAACCCAGGAGGTAGAGGTTGCAGTGAGGTGAGATCGTGCTACTTCACTCCAGTCTGGACGATGGAGCAAGACTCTGTCTTTAAATCAATAAATAAAAGTGGGCCGGGCGCAGTGGGTCACACCTGTAATCCTAGCACTTTGGGAGGCCGAGGCGGGCGGATCACCTGAGGTCTCGAGTTCAAGACCAGTCTGGCCAACATGATGAAACCCCGTGCCTATCAAAAATACAAAAATTAGCCGGGTGTGGTGGCGGGCGCCTGTAATCCCAGCTACTCTGGAGGCTGAGACACAAGAATATCTTGAACCTGGGAGACAACAGTGCAAGACTCTGTCTCCAAAAAAAAAAAAAAGTGATAATTCAGCAGCATTTAGTGCATTCACAATGTTGCACAACCACCACCGCTATCTAGTTCCAAGAGATCTTCATCACCCCAAAAGGAAACCCCTATCTATTAGACAGTTACTCCCCATTTCCCCCTCCCCTGGGCCCTAGTAACCACCGGTCCGCTTTCTGTCTCTGTGGGTTTTCCTATTCTAAACTTTGCACACACATGGAATCATGCAAAGGTTGCCTTTCGCGTCTGCCTTTTTGTTTAGTGGAATGTTGTTACGGCTCATCCCTGTTGCAGCCTGCATCTGTGCTCACTTCTTTCTAAGGCTGAGTAATATTCCTTATACGGCTCAACCACATTCTATTTACTCATTCGTCCGTTGATAGACATTTGGGCCGTTTCCACCTTTTGGCTGTGGTGAATCACGCTGCCACGAGCGTGTGTGTACAGGTATCTGTTGGAGTCCCTGTTTTCTATTATTTGGTATATGTCTAGGCGTGGAATTGTTAGGTCATATGGTAAGTCTGTTTAACTTTTTGAGGAACCACTAAAACAGTATTTTCTTCTTTCTTTTTTCTTTACTCTGAGGTCTACTGGTTTCATTTATTTATAATTTGTAGGTTCAGGGGTACATGTGCAGGTTTGTTATAGAATTAAATTGTGGTCAGGTGCAGTGGCTCATGCCTGTAATCCCAGCACTTTGGGAGGCTGAGGCGGGTGGATCACAAGGTCAGGAGTTCGAGACCAGTCTGACCAACATGGAAACCCTGTCTCTACTAAAAATACAAAAATTAGCCAGGCATGGTGGCGTGCACTTGCAGTCCCAGCTACTTGGGAGGCTGAGGCAGGAGAATCACTTGAACTCAGGAGGCAGAAGTTGTGGTGAGCAGAGATCACGCCACTGTGCGCCTGGGTGACAGGGAAAGAAAAGACTCCATCTAAAAAAAAAAAAAACAGTGAGAACATGCTAAATCCAGCATCCTTTTTCCCTTTTCTGAGTCTCCCTCACCACCGTGGCCAGCTAATTTTTGTATTTTTAGTAGAGCCAGACTTTCACCATGTTGGTTACACTGGTCTTGAACTCCTGACCTCAAGTCATCCATCTGCCTGGACCTCCCAAATGCTGGGATTACAGGCGTGTGCCACCGAGCCTGGCCAAACCAGTACCTTCTTAAGGTGCTTGATCAATGTCGATTCTTTCTTCCTCCTTGGACCTTTTCATCTCCCAGAAATCACCCCTGTGGTCTCCATTGCCTACAAAGTCCTAGAAGTTTTCCCCAAAGGCCGCCGGGTGCTCATAACCTGCCATGCACCCCAGGCACCACTGCCCATCACCTATTCCCTCTGTGGAACCAAGAACATCGAGGTGGCCAAGAAGGTGGTGAAGACCCACGAGCCGGCCTCTTTCAACCTCAACATCACACTCAAGTCCAGTCCAGACCTGCTCACCTACTTCTGCCAGGCGGCCACCACCTCAGGTGCCCATGTGGACAGTGCCAGGCTGCAGATGTACTGGGAGCTGTGGTCCAGTGAGTGCGGTGGGGGGCACAGGGCTGAGGAGGCAGGTGGGGTGCAGATCAGTGGGGAGCTCTGGGATTGGGAATTGTGAACCTTGCTGGGGTAAGAGAGAGCCAGGATGTGAGGGTGTGGACAAGGACAGGCTGCCGCCTCCAAGGCCACTCTCAGTCCCCTGGGGCCTTTTCTCAGGACTTGCTGTCCTTGGCTGGGGCCCTGAGGGCACAGTTTCCTGGTAGGGGCCTGAGGGCACAGAAGGAAAGAGCCCGATGGATGGCAGAAATGACTGAGCCCCAGTTGTCATCTCGGACCTCAAGGTGATAAACTAGGCATGTTTGGCTGGATGCAAATCCCAGCACTGTGGGAGGCCAAGACAGGATGATCGCTCGAGCCCAGGAGTTCGATACCAGCCTGGGCAACATGGCGAAACCCCATTTCTACTAAAAATACAAAGATTAGCCGGGCGTGGTGGGGTGCACCTGTAGTTCCATCTACTCAGGAGACTGAGGCAGGAGAATTGCTTGAACCCAGGAGGCGGAGGCTGCAGTGAGACAAGATTGTGCCACTGTACTCCAGCCTGGGTAACAGAGCGAGACTCTGTCTCCAAAAGAAAAGAAAAGAAAAGAAAAGAAAGTTAGGCACGTTTTGTACATTACTTCACTTGATCTTCACAGCCGTGTCAGGGGTGGGGTCTGAGCCTCTGGGTCTGTAGCTATGGAAGCTAAAGCTCTGGGGTGTTAAGAAAGTTGCCCCAGGGGCTGGGTGTGGTGGCTCACACCTGTAATCCCAGCACTTTGGGAGGCCTATGCGGGTGGATCACTTGAGGTCAGGAGTTCGAGACCAGTCTGGCCAACGTAGTGAAACTGCATCTCTACTAAAAATACAAAAATTAGCTGGGTATGGTGGCGGGCACCTGTAATCCCAGCTACTCGGGAGGCTGAGGCAAGAGAGTCACTTGAACCCGGGAGATGATGGCTGCAGTGAGCCGAGGTCGTGCCACTGCACACCAGCCTGGGCGACAGAGTAAGACTCTGTCTCAAAAAAAAAAAAAAAAAAAAAGTCGCCCCAGGCCACATGGCTGGCAAGTGGCCAAGGCTGCTTTCAAACCCCACTCTGTCCAGCTCCGAAGCCTGCCTTCTTCCTGTTTCCATCCTGATAGTAACTCAGGTAACCTTCTTGGTGGGAGCTATGGGGTATGGGAACCAGGAAGTGTTGCCCAACTTAGGGTGGGACAAGGAAGCTCCCCGTTCATCCTTTGCCCCACACCCTAAGAACACCAGGAAAAGACAGCCTAGGGGAGATGAGCCCAGGGTCTGCAGCCCAACATGTTCAGGGTTCAAATCCCTACACTTACTGGCTGGGGCCTTGAACAAATCATGGGACTGCTGAGCTTCAACTGCTTTAGCTGCAAAAGGAAAATAGTAAGAGGCCAGTGAGGTGACTCACGCCTGTATTCCCAGCATTTTGAGAGGCCAAGGTGGGAGAATCCTTCGAGGCCAAGAGTTTGAGACCAGCCTGGACCACAGAGTGAGACTCCATGTCTACAAAAAAATTAGTTTCTTTTTTTGAGACGGAGTCTTGCTCTGTCGCCCAGGCTGTACTGCAGTGGCGCAATCTCGGCTCACTGCAACCTCCGCCTCCCAGGTTCAAGCAATTCTCCTGCCTCAGCCTCCCAGGTAGCTGGGACTACAGGCTCTTGCCCCAACGCCCGACTAATTTTTGTATTTTTAGTAGACACGGGATTTCACCATGTTGGCCAGGCTGGTCTCAAACTCCTGACCTCAGGTGATCCACCCACCTAGGCCTCCTAAAACGCTGGGATTACAGACATGAGCCACTGCACCCAGCCAACAGCAATTTTTTAAAAAAATTAATCAGGTGTGGTGGCGCATGCCTGTGGTCCCAGCTACTTGGGAGGCTGAGGTGGGAGGATCATTTGAGCCCAGGAGCTGGAGCCTGGAGTGAGCTGTGATCACACCATTGCACTCTACCTTGAGCAACAGAGACCCTGTCTCTAAAATAATAATGGGTCCAGCCGGGCGCGGTGGCTCACGCCTGTAATCCCAGCACTTTGGGAGGCCGAGGCGGGCGGATCACAAGGTCAGGAGATCGAGACCACGGTGAAACCCCGTCTCTACTAAAAATACAAAAAATTAGCCGGGCGCGGTTGTGGGCGCCTGTAGTCCCAGCTACTCGGGAGGCTGAGGCAGGAGAATGGCGTGAACCCGGGAGGCGGAGCTTGCAGTGAGCCGAGATCGCGCCACTGCACTCCAGCCTGGGCGACAGAGCGAGACTCCGTCTCAAAAAAAAAAAAAAAAAAAATGGGTCCTATTCCAGGGGACCTATGAAATGAAAGCCTTTTAGTAGGTGGCAAGGGCGGTGGTTATTACTAATCAGTAAGAATGACTAGAGCGTTAGGCTCAAGGCCTGGGGGATTCTAGAATCTTCTGCATGACAGTTCTTGTCCTGAAGTAACTTGCCTTTTAGTAAAAAAGACGAGACTGAATGATAGAGTTGCCAGGTAAATTTTACACAGGACATACATACAGTAAAAAATTATTCATTGTTTATCTGAAATTAAAATTTAACTGTAGTTTTATTTGCTAAGTCTGGCAATCTGAAATATACTGCATAAGAATAAAACCAGGCCGGGCATGGTGGCTCACGCCTATAATCCCAGCACTTTGGGAGGCTAGGGCAGAAGATCGCTTGAGCCCAGGAGTTTGAGACCAGCCTGGCCAACATAGAGAAACCTCATCTCTACAAAAAATGCAAAAGTTAGCTGGATGTGGTGCTGCACACCTGTAGTCCTAGCTACTCGGGAGGCTGAGATGGGAGAACTGCTTGAGCCAGGGAGGCAGAGGTTGCAGTGAGCCTAGATCACATCATTGCACTCCAGCCTGGGCAACAGAGCAAGACCCTGCCTCAAAATAAAGTTAAAATAAGATAAAAACCAAATGTGAAATTGTGTGGTGCACACGGCAGGTAGGGTAGCAGCTCAGACACAAGATGGAGGGCAAACTCTAGAAGGCGGCCTGGAGGAGGCAGCAGCCACAGCTAAGCTCATTAGGCATTTTGGAATGAGGAGAACTTACAGAGGAGGAGGGGTTTAAGACCGCTCAGCCATGGCTGTGCTACCTTCTCCCACCCTGCCAGAGCCAGTGTCGGAGCTGCGGGCCAACTTCACTCTGCGGGACAGAGGGTCAGGCCCCAGGGTGGAGATGTCCTGCCAGGCGTCCTCGGGCAGCCCACCCATCACCTACAGCCTGGTCGGGAAGGACGGGCAGGTCCACCTGCAGCAGCGACCACGCCACGGGCAGCCTGCCAACTTCTCCTTCCTGCCGGGCCAGACATCGGACTGGTTCCAGTGCCAGGCTGCAAACAGCGTCAATGTCCAGCACAGCGCCCTCACACTGGTGCCCCCAGGTGAGAAGGCCCTTGGATTTCCAGAGGGGCAGCTGGCGCTTCTGTGCTGGGAGGGTGCTAGTAGTGGGACGGCTCTACCCGGCCACTGCCGAGAGCACAGAGGGCACAGGAGGCAACCATGCCCACCCTGGCCCCTGCCTAAAGGAAGCCCAACCCAGCTGCCTCCGCCCCGCTCCCAGGAGAGTTACCCAAGGCACCCACCATCGTGCTGGCCGGCAGCCTCGCCTCCATTGCGGCCGTCACCTCCGGGATGCTGGGCTGGACCACGTGGGCCAGGTAGGAAATGGGTGCTGGATGCAGGGAGGAGGGAGAGCTGCTGACGGCCTGAGAGGTTCAGCCGGGCTCTGGCTGGGGAGCTCAGGTGGTGGGGCTTGCAGGGCAGGGCTCTGGCCAGGGCAAAGAAGGGCCGTCACCGCTTATGCACGACTCGAAGGTATTTATGAGGACCTACTGTGTCACAGGCCTACTGAGGCTTACACGTTCAAGGCGTTGTCGAACCCTGGTCAGTGCTCCCAGTTGCCCTGTAATGGAGTCTGCTGGCCTCTGGGAGGGCAGTCTCTAAGTTCTTTATGGGGTCTGAGCAGGGATGCAGCGATGATGACTCCAGGAGACCAAGGTGGACCAGGAGCTCCTGCCTTCTGTAAGAACCACATTGGGCAGTCTTTCCCAGGTGGTGGCAAGAGCCTGGGGCCCAGCCTCCCAGGGTCCCCTCTCCAAAGCCATGGCTTTACTGACATGTAAGGTGACCAGGGCCTTTGTAGTGTCTGAGCGCAGGCGCCACAGCCTGTGTGCTTTGCCTGTCTGGCCTTGGTGGTGGCCAGCCCTGCCTCTGTGAACTCACCTCTCTTTGTTTGGGAGACACTGCTGTGTCCTGGTTCTCATCCTCTGCCGTGGCCCAGGCACTTACGTGGCTCTGCCAGGACTCTGTCCTTGGCACTCTCCCATCTCACTTCTGCCAAGTCCGTCCTTTCCAGAGGCCAGACTCATGGGTGGGCCATGTCCCTTCGCTGAGCCTCAGTTTTTCCTTCTGTAAAAGGGGGTACAGCCTTCATTTAGTGGGGTGAGTAAGCCCTCATGTCTCTCCTGCTGGGGCATTGATGTGCTTGGCACCATAAAACTCCCAGAGGCAGGCCGGGCACGGTGGCTCACGCCTGTAATCCCAGCATTTTGGGAGGCTGAGGCAGGTGGATCACCTGAGGTTAGGAGTTGGAGACCAGCCTGGCCAACATGGAGAAACCCCGTCTCTACTAAAAATACAAAATTAGCCAGGCGTGGTGGTGCATGCCTGTAATCCCAGCTACTCGGGAGGCTGAGGTAGGTGAATCACTTGAACCCGGGAGGTGGAGGTTGCAGTGAGCCGAGATTGCACCCTTGCACTCCAGCCTGGGCAAAAAGAGCGAAACTCTGTCTCAAAACAAACAAACAAACAAACAAACACTCCCAGACGCCTCGGGAGGGGATGGCTGGGAGATGAGCCTGCCTGACTTGAGTCTCCACTGCTTTGTCATCAAGGTCATGACCAGAAGATGGAGGACTGGCAAGGTCCCCTGGAGCACCCCATCCTTGCCTTGCTGCCCTATAGGAGCACCGACCATCTGAGTGAAGAGGAGCTTGGGGTGTTCAGGACAGGGAATGGGGAAGTCAGAAGATGCAAAGCAGCAGCCATGTAGAATGAACCGTCCAGAGAGCCAAGCACGACAGAGGGTCGCAGACCATCGGCGTGCACTGTTCGTATTTGGAGTTCATGCAAAATGAGTGTGTTTTAGCCACTCTTGTCACAAAAACAAAACAAAACCAAAAAAATGGGTAACTATGAGAGATGGTGGATATGTTAACTTGCTTCACTATAGGAACTTTTGTGCTATCTATATGAATCCCATAATAGCAGGTTGTCTACCTTAAATATACACAAAAACATTTATTTAAAAAAAAGAAAAAAACCTGCCACGTGGGATTCTTGGAACCCTGCTGACCTTCAGCAAACGCAGACAGTGTTGGTGTGAGGGCTTGAGGAGGGTCACAGAAAGGAGGGGTCTCTGTGGCCTTGTCCTCACTTCTCAGGTGCTGTCACATCTCTCCGGGTGTGGGGAGAGGGAGGGGGGCACACTGGGGAAAGGCCCAGCCCCTCCCCCGCACCTTCTCCCCTCTTCCCTGGAGGGGCACCCCACCTCCTGGTGGCACAGTCCTCTGGTTCAACTCTCACGTGGACCAGCTCACCTGGGTGGACTCTGAGCCCCACCTGGCACACCTGCTCTTGTTAATCTGCACCTGCAGTTAGCAAAGGGGGGTCTGGAATTCTTCCGGGCTCAGTCAGCCTGTGACCCCACACCTCTGTCTGTACAACCTCCGCTCCCCCTCCAACACACACAGAGCCTGCCTTCCCTGCACGGGACGCTCTGTACCGGTTTTTCTTGGGATGGAGGTAGAGAGGGATGGAGGTGAGAAGGGGCTGGAACTGGATTAAATTTTGCCCCCTGCCTGTCGCCCTGAAAACTTCGTTTCTGTTTGCATGCCTTTTTTTTTTTTTTTTTTTTTTTTTGATATGGAGTTTTACACCGTCCCCCAGGCTGGGGTGCAGAGGCACGATCTTGGTTCACTGCAAACTCTGCCTCCTGGACTCCTGGACTCAGGAGATTCTCCCACCTCAGCCTCTGGAGTAGCTGGGATTACTAGTAGCTGCCACCACGCCTCGCTAACTTTTGTTTTTGGTTTTTTGGGTTTGTTGGTTTGTTTTGAGACGGACTCTTGCTCTGCTGCCCAGGCTGGAGTATAGTGGCTTCATCTCAGCTCACTGCCACCTCCACCTCCCAGTTTCAAAAACTTCTCCTGCCTCAGCCTCCCAAGTAGCTAGGATTACAGGCGCTCACCACCATGCCCAGCTAATTTTTTGTTGTTGTATTTTTAGTAGAGACGGGATTTTGCCATGTTGGCCAGGCTGGTCTCAAACTCCTGACCTTAGGTGACCCACCTGCCTCGGCCTCCCAAAGTGCTGGGATTACAGGCGTGAGCCACCGTGCCCGGTCTTGCACACTATCTTAAGTGTGAAGCCACACTGCCCTTCACAGCCTTGGGGCTCTGCCCAGACCAGGAGGAAAGGGGGTCTTTGACCCTACCCCAGGTTTAGTCCCAGAGAGGAGGAAAGAGTGGCAGGCCAGGCAGGGAGGGGGCTCCAGGGTGTGACCTGGGTTTTTCAGTGGGATGGGGGAGGGGGTGCTTATGAGCCTGGGTGGGTTCTTGGTAGGTGGTCGGCTTCCTAGAGGAGGCGGTGGGAGGGCAAAATCCCTAGAGGAGGGGCAAAGAGGGTGAGTGGTCCTCCGTTCGTCCGTTTTCCTGGGGGACTCTCTTACCCTTTCTGGTCCGTGCTGTGGCCGGCGTGGCCCGGGAACTAGCCCCTCGACCCCGAGGTAGGGTGGACACCGGTGCTCCGCGGCCAGAGCCCCTCCCAGCCGCTAGAAGCGCAGTCCCGCGGCCCGCCGCCGCTCGCGAGGGCCGCACTTTGCCCTCGGTCCCTAGCGGTGCCTGGCCACGCCCCCGGCGGGTGGAGCGGGGCGGGGCGCCGGGCAGGTTCCTCAGCGTTCCGCGGCGGCGGCGGCGGCGGTGGCGGCGGCGGCGGCGACGGCGACGGCGACATGGAGAGCGGGGCCTACGGCGCGGCCAAGGCAGGCGGCTCCTTCGACCTGCGGCGCTTCCTGACGCAGCCGCAGGTGGTGGCGCGCGCCGTGTGCTTGGTGAGCCCGGGGAGGGCGGGCCGGGGCACTCCGGGGACCCCCCCATGCCGCCAGGCCCGGCGGGGCCCCTGGCCCACGAGCGCGACAGGTGGCGGCGGCCGCGTCCGGGGCCTGGCGGCGAGCGGGGCCGGCCTCCAGCGTCCCGGGCCCCGCCTTCCCGCCCTCCACAGTCTGTCCCACTGTTTCCTCCCAGTCCCGGTCCCGCCATCCACCCCACCCCACCCCCAGCCCCGCGCCCCGACGCGGGGTGTCCCGAGGCTCCGCAGGGAGCGGGCCCCTGCCTCGCTGGCAGTGGGAGGAGTTTGGGGGCAGCTCCCGAACAGGTGGCCCGCACGCCGCCGCGACTCCCAGCTTGTGGAGTTCACCGGGACTGGGCTTTCCCAAACCACGTGGGATAAGGGAGGGGGCGGGGGGCAACCCAACGCCATGAAACAGGGTCTCCTTCCCACTCGGGGCAGGCCACGGGTCCGCCTTCCCATCCGAAGTTGAGGGACCCCAGGATGTACCCCCTGTCAATAAGCTGGGCAATACCTCCAAAACCAGGTTTTGTGTGTTGAGGGGGCCTGTTCTTGGACAGCCAGCCCTGAAAGCTGGAGGGGGTGTCATGAGGGGGCAGGCAGAGGTGGACCTGCTGTGCCCAGACCATGCCTTCTGAGGTCCCTCAGGGCGCCCACAGCCGCTCCCAGTCAGGCTGTGGGGTCTGACCGCCTGGAGCTTCTGAGGTTCCCCAGGGCGCCCACACGTGCTCCCAGCCAGGCTGTGGGGTCTGACCACCTCTGTCCTGGGCTGTGTCCAAGAATCAGGTGCCCAGTGGGTCGGGATGACAGTGCCAGGAGTCCTGGATGGGCACCCTGCTCCCATCATCCCGGAGGTCCGGCTTCATTTCTAGCTGGGGGCGGGGCCTGTGACTGCCAGCTCCAGAGCCCTGTAGGGAGCTCCCTGGGAGGGCACGGCAGGACTGGCAAGGGAGAGGCCTGGGACCATCCCAGAGGGAGCCTTATGCCCAGAGACCTGTCCCACATCTGCTGAGGTGGAGCAAGCATGGGTGGTGGCCTTGAAGTTTAGGGAGGTGGCATGGGGCTCTTCCCAAGGGGCTGGAGCCCCCCTACACCCACCCTGGGTCCTCCAGGGGTCTGAGTTCAAAACTGTATCCACAGGCCTGAGTTAGGCCCCTTGTAGTGCCCTGTGCATGCAGGGCCCTTTGCGGGTTAGGAGACAGACTGGGAGGGACCAGGATGCCACAGAGGCTGGAAGTCCTTGTCTGGAGAAAGCTGGCCAGGCTCAACCAGGCAGGGGTTAGAGGGGGTTCCAGGAGGTGAAGACACGGGGTCGCCGGAATGGCCTTCCCAAGAGGGCCTGTCCGCCTTCACCAAGGTGTTCAGGCAGAGGCTGGGCGCTGTAGAAGTGACTTGGGCTGAAGGTGACGGGGACTGGGTGAGACTCTGTGACTTGGTGGCCTGTCTTGTTTAAACCTCTTTCAAGGTGAGGTTGGGCTGGAGGTGGAAGGACGGCCTTTCATCCATCAGGTACCTAAACAGAATGATTCCTGCAGGCAGGCAGCTGGGGCAGGAGCAGCCCCTACCTAGGAGGTCCCTGCCCATTCCCCACCCCTCCTCAGTCCAGGATTCCCAGGGGCAGGCCCCCTGGTGCCTGCAGATTCTAATCCTGGGGTACACCAGGAAGCACTTTGCTCATCAGCTCACCTCCACAAAGTTTGGAGGGGCTAACATGCCAGCCTCCAAAAGGGGACAACAGGCCAGGCGAGGTGGCTCATGCCTGTAATCCCAGCACTTTGGGAGGCCGAGGAGGGCTGATCACCTGAAGTTTGGAGTTCCAGACCAGCCTGGCCAATATGGTGAAACCCTATCTCTACTAAAAATACAAAAATCTGGCCGGGCGTGGTGGCTCAAGCCTGTAATCCCAGCACTTTGGGAGGCCGAGACGGGTGGATCACGAGGTCAGGAGATCGAGACCATCCTGGCTAACACGGTGAAACCCCGTCTCTACTAAAATACCAAAAAAAAAAAAAAATTAGCTGGGCGTGGTGGCGGGTTCCTGTAGTCCCAGCTACTTGGGAGGCTGAGGCAGGAGAATGGCGTGAACCCGGGAGGCAGAGCTTGCAGTGAGCTGAGATCGCACCACTGCACTCCAGCCTGGGCGACAGAGCGAGACTCTGTCTCAAAAATAAAATAAAATAAAATAATAAAAATAAATAAAAATACAAAAATTAGCAGGTGTGGTGGAGGGCACCTGTAATCCCAGCTACTAGGGAGGCTGAGGCAGAATTGCTTGAACCCAGGAGGCAGAAAATGCAGTGAGCCCAGATCGCACCACTGCACTCCAGCCTGGGCAACAAGAGCAAGACTCCATCTCAAAAAACAACAAAAACCCAAAAGGGGCAGCAGTGGTGGGAGAGGCCTGCGTCTGTACACCCCACTGGGGTCCCCGCTGTGTGTGCCCCTCAGGCGGCCACCAGCCCTACCAGGTCCTCCTCTCCCGGCAGGTCTTCGCCTTGATCGTGTTCTCCTGCATCTATGGCGAGGGCTACAGCAACACCCACAAGTCTAAGCAGATGTACTGCGTATTCAACCACAATGAGGATGCCTGCCGCTATGGCAGTGCCATCGGGGTGCTGGCCTTCCTGGCCTCGGCCTTCTTCTTGGTGATCGACGCATATTTCCCCCAGATCAGCAACGCCACTGACCGCAAGTACCTGGTCATTGGTGACCTGCTCTTCTCAGGTATCTGCCTGTGGCACCTCCATTTGATCTTGGGAGGTGACTAGGAAGGGGACGCATTAGCTCTGGGGTTCCGCAGCTGGGGGGGCCTCGGCCTCTCTGGGAGGGCAGGGAGCAGCTCACTCCTCCAGGGCACTTTTAGGAAAGGGTTTTCAGCTAGCGTTTCTCCTTGCTTGAATGGCCCCAGCCCTGCCTGGGGTAGCTAGAAGCTGAGTGGACCCCCAGCACACCCGAGCAGATGGGCTTTGCCTCTGCCGTTTGTCCCCTAGGTTGTCTGCTGGGACCCACCATGCCAAGGCGGATCCCAGCCCGGCTTCCGAGTCCTCCCCTCCATATCGTGGAGGCTCCCGGGAGGTCCCTGCCTAGGCCCTGCCCTACCTGCCCTGTCCCCTCCCAGAGTCCTGGAAAGGCCCTCCCTTTCCATGGAACTGACACCCCACCCGTCCTCCCCCAGCTCTCTGGACCTTCCTGTGGTTTGTTGGTTTCTGCTTCCTCACCAACCAGTGGGCGGCCACCGACCCGAAGGACGTGCTGGTGGGGGCCGACTCTGCGAGGGCAGCCATCACCTTCAGCTTCTTTTCCATCTTCTCCTGGGTAGGACGGCCAGGGGCCGGTTCTTGGGGTCTTGGGTAAAGGGTGGTAGAAGGTGGGGTCCCCCACCCACCTGTACCCCTCTGTGCCCTCCCTGCAGGGTGTGCTGGCCTCCCTGGCCTACCAGCGCTACAAGGCTGGCGTGGATGACTTCATCCAGAACTACGTCGACCCCACCCCGGACCCCAACACTGCCTATGCCTCCTACCCAGGTGCATCTGTGGACAACTACCAACAGCCTCCCTTCACCCAGAATGCGGAGACCACCGAGGGCTACCAGCCGCCCCCTGTGTACTGAGTAGCAGTTAGGGTGGGAAGGGGGACAGAGAGGGCCCTCCCCTCTGCCCTGGACTTTCCCATGAGCCTCCTGAAACTGCCAGCCCCCGTCTTTCGCCTGTTCTACCCTGTGCAGCTGACACACAGCTGAAGAGCCTCCCAGCCTAGCGGGGGCTGGCAGAGCCACACAGTGCCTGTGCCCGGAGGGCTTCAGTCAGCCTCTCACTCCTCCAGGGCACTTTTAGGAAAAGGTTTTTAGCTAGTGTTTTTCCTTGCTTTTAACGACCCCAGCCCCGCCTGGAGTGGCTAGAAGCCAGCAGGCACCCATGTGCTGCTGACAAGTGCCTCAGCTTCCCCTGGCCTGGGTCAGGCTGTGGGAGCCGCTGTTATCTGCGTTCTCTGCCAAAGATTCGTGGGGGCCATCACACCTGCCCTATGCAGCGGAGCTGGACCAGGCTCTTGTGTCCTCACTCAGGTTTGCTTCCGCTGTGCCCACTGCTGTATGATCTGGGGGCTGCCACCCTATGCCGGTGGCCTCTGGGCTGCCTCCCATGGCGTGAGGGCGGGCTGGTGCTCACGGCACTTCCTCCTTGCTCCCACCCCTGGCAGCAGGGAAGGGCTTTGCCTGACAACACCCAGCTTTATGTAAATATTCTGCAGTTGTTACTTAGGAAGCATGGGGAGGGCAGGGGTGCTCCATGGCTCCCAGACTGTCTGTGCTGAATGTATTATAAAGCCTTGGGGGAGATACCCAGCCCTGGGATGCTGTTTGGAGACAGAATAAATGTTTTCTCAGTCAGTCTCCAGTCATTGGTTGAGCCACAGCCTAGGGGTTGGAGGAAGACTCCCCTCTGGGTACACCCTTAGGGGCTGGCTTTATGGAACTTGTATTTTGAACAAGGCAATGGCAGTCCGTCCCCTCCAGCCTGCCTGGCTGGCCCCCTTCCCTCTATCTGGGGTCGCATTCCGCACAAGCCTTTCATCATCTTAAAATAGTAACTGTGCTCAGCCTGTAAACAAGATTTTTCTGGCCTGCAGTGCCAGGGTCCTGCTGCTCCCTTCCTAGAGTTGGGGTGGGGGTACCTGGGAGTTGCCGGGGAACGCCCCTTCCCGGTAACCTTTCCCGGCACTGAATGAGGGGTGCCATGGCTAAGACCAGGTTTCTACCTTACTCCAGGGTCAGCACCTCTGGAGCCTTCCTGGGACACAGCAGGGAATGGCCTTGGCCATCCAGCCCACCCCTTGGAGATTAGGCCCATCTCTGGAAGAGGTCAGGGCCCTGAAGCAACTCCTGGCTTCCTCTTTTGAGCAGTGACGGAGCTGTCATCGGCAAGTCCCTATTGTTTAAAAATCCCCAGTACAAACTAACAGGGTGCTGCTCCCAGCCTCACCCAATGGCTTTGGCTTGGGACATCACTAGCGAAGGGGAGAGGGAGGCTGGGGAGGCCCTGGGAGCGGTGACCCTGTCTGCGCAGGGCACACTCAGGCACAGCACCAAGTCCACACCTTACCCCAGTGATGCTTGCCCCCAAGTGAGCTGCCAACAGCCCATCTCTGAGGCACAGCTGGGACATGTCTTGACTCCTGAATTACCGAGAGTTTGTTTCACAAACAAAACCTGACCTTGCAGGCCCAGCGACAGGACAGTGCCTCATCCTTCCAGCTGGGCCCCAGGCTCCTCTGCACACCGTTTTTGTCCTGACTCTGGCCCAGACAGGAAGCAGATGATGTTCCTCTTAGGACACGCCCCATGACCATTTCTCAGTTAAAGGGTTGTGGTTAAGACATCAGTGTTACTACAAAAAGATCTGGGGGCCAGGCACAGTGCCTCACGCCTGTAATCCCAGCACTTTGGGAGGCCAAGGCAGGTGGATCACTTGAGGCCGGGAGTTCAAGACCAGCCTGGCCAACATGGTGAAACCTCATCTCTACTAAAAATACAAAAATTAGCGAGGTGTGGTGGTGCATGCCTGTAATACCGGCTACTTGGGAGGCTAATGGAGGAGAATCACTTGAACTGGGGAAGCAGAGGCTGCAGTGAGCAGGGATTGCACCACTGCACTCCAGCCTGGGCAACAGAGTGAGACCCTGTCTCAAAAGAAAACAAAAAGATCTGGAAGAAAATCCCCACCCAAATCAAGCTGAAGCTGTCCATGAGACCCAGGGAAACCCAGGTTAAAGAGAAATGTGCATCCACCAATCAGTGAATTTTGAATTAGTTAATTTCATACACTACAGCAGAGGCATGGACCCTGCCCTGTCTCCCCACTTGAAGAGGTAAGCCCCTGGGATCCAAGTCCCAGCAAGGTTGGTGCCACCCATCTTGGTGAAAGATGCTGTTGTTCCTGTGGAAACCATCAACAGAGGTAAGAAGGGCTTTGAGCCCAAAAGGAAGCAAGAGGGCGTGAGTCCAGGCCATCCTCAGGGGAGGGCAGGAGCCGGTCCCAGGAAGGGCCTAAGCCTCAGTGTGGCCCAAGGCTCAAAGGTGCTGGTGCAGCTTCCCAGGAAGAACAGAAACTCAGCGGTGAAAGCCGCAGAGAGGAAGAAGCAGGCTTATGTCAACAGCGTGTGGCCCTGTCCCTCACCTAAAGGAGGGGGAGTGTGCCAGATCCCAGGCCACCAAGCGGGGCCAGCTCCAGCCTGGGTGATCGTCCCAGCAGCCGAGAGGGAAGCTTTAAGCAGGCCAGTGGGTAGGAGAGGAGGGAGTATGTGGCAGGTGGGGCAGCCACACAAAGACTTCCCAGAAGGCCAAGGTGTGGTCACCCTCCACGCCTCCCAGCTTCCTCCTGGAGTGGCCAGGCAGCACGTGGGGCAGTGTCCGCTGGGCAGCAGCGGCAGGAAGGGAGCGGGCGGCCCTCGCAGGCCTCTCAGTTGGCGGGGCTGCATTGTAGAATCTGCTGTGGGGCAAAGAGCTTCCTGGCAGCCACGGCCTCCCCTGGCTTTCCTGGCACTGGGCAGTTCTCTTTGTTGTCCGGCCCGGCAGGCTGGCCTGAGGCCTTCTTGAAGTAGCAGAGCCGACACACGGAGTGGTACTTGTCTGCTCCCCCAATCACCTCGACCTGGCAGGGACAGAGGACAGGTGAAGGGCCAGGACAGGAAGGAGGCAGAGCCACACCCCCACCCCGCCGGCCCGCAGAGAAGGCAGGGAATGCAGGTGGAGCTACCTCCTTCTCTGTGCCAAGCCTCTTGGTATAGGCGGCTTCCCGGAAGCACTCCATGCACACCGCGGTCAGCTTCACCACGCTCTCGGCCAGCGGCACCAGGTTGAGGATGGTCCCGAATGGCTGTGCTCCCAGGGAAGGACAGCAGGCGCTCAGCCACCTCACCAGGCGGGTTTTTCTTTTAAACCCTCTGATTCACAAGCACTAAAGCCAGGAGTTCTCTCTGCCCGGAGTCCTTCCCCCAACCCCCAGAGCACCATGCCCAGCTCTGTCCCTCTGCTGATTCAAAGCACCTGCCAGACAGATGGAACCAGTCTGCACAGACCACGGAGTCCCTGGGCTCAGACAAGGCCTGGTCTGAGCAGCTCGGCCATACCCTTGTGGTGGCTGAGCCCTGGTCACCCAGAGCTGGTGTCTGTGTACCCCCCCAGAAGCCCCTTCCCCTCCTGGATCCCAGCTCCAGACCTGGATCAGACGCCTTACCTTCCTCTGGAACGTCCCATCCAGTGCAGCCACAATTACAGTCTTCCCAGCGTTGGCCATGGCCTCGCAGAACTCCACGATGTCAGGGAACTGGAAAGGGCAGGTGGAGAAAGCGTGAGCTTCCACCCCAGCAGCAGCTCCCTGGATCCCCAGCGAAGATGCTGCCACATCTGACAACTCCGGCCCTTTGGCCTGGAGCAACTCTCCCATGAGGCTCCACAGCCCGGGGGACTGTGTCCCTCTGTGTGCCCTCCCAGCAATAACAGGCATATCCACAACTGCGCAGCCCTTTCCCCCTCCACACCCCAGGGGACTGTGTCCCTCTGTGTGCCCTCCCAGCAGATGACAGGCGTATCCACAACTGTGCAGCCCCTTCCCCCTGCAGCCAGCTTCCGCTCCAAGTCCAGGTCCCCAGGACTCAGCATCGGACTTCCACACCAGCTATGCTGTTTAACACTGCAGCGGCCAAAGGCCTGCTGCTTTGAGCTCGGACACTGCTCTTCGTTGGACCCATTATCTGTGTGACCTTGGCAATGAATTAACGTCTCTGAACCTGTTTCCTCTTCACTAAGAGCAAGGAAGGTTCTGTTTTGTTTTGTTTTTTTTTTTTTTTGAGATGAGTTTCACTCTTTCGCCCAGGCTGGAGGGCAGTGTGGTGTGATCTCGACTCACTGCAACCTCCGCCTCCCGAGTTCAAGCGATTCTCCTGCCTCCGCCTCCCGAGTAGCTGGGATTACAGGGGAATGCTACCATGCCCAGCTGATTTTTGTATTTTTAGTAGAGACAGGGTTTCACCATGTTGGTCAGGCTGGTCTCAAACTCCTGACCTCGTGATCCGCCCTCCTCGGCTTCCCAAAGTGCAGGGATTACAGGCATGAGACGCCATACCCAGCCAGGTCCTGTTGTTTAACGATGGAAGATCCTAAGTTATATACAGGCTCTTTGGTGAATAGGTGGGTATTTTGTGCTCTTGCCTCCCCCTTTTTAAACAGGTAATGTGCTTTGAGAAGGGGCAGGGGTCCTACTGGCCATTTACAGAGCAGGATGACACAGCACAGCCTTCTAAGTATCAGGCCTGCACAGAGCACATTTACTGCGTAAATTAAACTTCACTTTGGCCCAGGGAGAAGCTCAAACTCTGTCAAGTGCTTTGGTGATTCTCATCAATCAATCGTATCACTCTTAGCTGGTTGAGTTCATATGTCCAGACTGGCCTCTGGGTTGGGTGAAGTGGGGATGTCCTTGTCCTTGGGTGCAGGGTCTCTCTCTCGGGGCCACTCAGGCTTTCTCAGCCAGGTACTGAGGTTCGAGGTTATTGGGACATGAGGGCTTAGCAAGGCAAGGACTAAGGGGCGGCTTGAAAAATTCCAGTTGGATCCAAGCGAAGCCCTACGTGACTGATTGTGCTCAGCTGACTGCAGGGGCCTCTGGAGAAGGAAATCCAGAGACTCCAGCACGCCGGGGCCCCTCCCCGCCATGCACTCATTCCCTCTTTTTCTCTAAGGACTCATCACATGTCACAAAAATGCAGCTCCCAGCCTGCAAGGAGCTGTGGGCCAGCACACCTCCTGCACCAGGGGCTCGCCCCCTGGAGGGCTGACGCTGCCATCGCTGCCATTTGAGGCTGGATCTCGCTGTGTCCTGTGCACTGTAGGGTGTTAGCTGCGTCCCTTGCCCCCACCCATTAGATAGATGCCAGGAGCATGCCTCCCACCCCCCAGTTGTGACAAAATTGTTTCTAGTTGTTGTGAAATGTCCCCTGGGTGGGAATCGAGAGGGGAAGAACCTCCTGAGTTGAGAACCTTGCTCCTTAACCCTCCACATGAGGGTGGAAGGCAGACCCCAGACTCTCCCACCTCAGGGTTTCAGGACGGAGGAAGGTCCTCAGCCCCTCCTCCACCTGGCACTTCCTCCCCCGGTGGCGTCCTCCTCCAGTGCAGACGCCACCCCTCTCCCAGGTAAGCATTAAACCCTAACCCCAGCAGAGGTCCCTGGGCAACCAGCGGCCTTGGAGATAAAGATGGAGGTATCCGAGTTGTTTGGGACGTTTCAAAGTGGGCCCTGGCAGTCATGCTGTTGCTGTTGGTGGTTTTGTGCCTTGTGTTTAGGGGATGTTATGGTTTGAATTGTGTCCCCCACCCCGCCAAATTCATATGCTGATGTCCTAACCCAGAATATCTGTGAATGTGACCTCATTTGGAGATAAGGTCTTACAAAGTGGAGTGATCGGGGTAGGTTCTAATCCAATGACTAGTGTCCTTATAAAAAGGGAAATCACAGTGGCTCATAACTGTAATCCCAGCACTTTGGGAGGCCAAGGTGGATAGATCACCTGAGGTCAGAAGTTCGAGACCAGCCTGGCCAAGGATTAAATCCCGTCTCTGCTAAAAATACAAAAATGAGGTGGGCCTGGGGGCGCATGCCTGTAATCCTAGCTACTCAGGAGGCTGAGGCAGAATTGCTTGAACCCAGGAGGTGAAGGCTGCAGTGAGCCAAGATCCTGCCACTGCACTCTAGCCTGGGTGACAGAGTGATACTCTGTCTCAAAAAATAAAAACAAACAAAAAGTTTAAAAAGGGAAACCTGGACACAGACACACACAGGAGAACAACGTGAAGACAAGGAGAAGACGCCGCCTACAAGCAAGGAACAGTCCCTCCCTTGCAGCCCTGAGAAGGAACCAGCCCTGCCAACACCTTGATCTTGGACATCCAGCCTCCGAAGTTGTGAGAGGATGTCTCCGTTGCTCCCCTTCCCAGCCTGTGGTACTGTGCTATGGCAGTCCCAGGAAATAGAGTACATGTGAAATAAAACTCTGGCCGGGTGCAGTAGCTCACACCTGTAATCCCAGCACTTTGGGAGGCCGAGGCGGGCATATCACCTGAGGTCAGGAGTTCGAGACCAGCCTGGCCAACATGGCAAAATCCCGTCTCTACTAAAAATACAAAAATTAGCTGGGTGTGGCAACGCATGCCTGTAATCCCAGCTACTTGAGAGGCTGAGGCACAAGAATTGCTTGAACCCAGGAGGCAGAAGTTGCAGTGAGCTGAGATCACGCCATTGCAGTTGAGCCTGAGCAACATAGAGAGCCTGTCTCTAAATAAATAAACCAGAGTTGTTCAACTCAAGGGGTGTTCTTAGTGGTCTCTGGCTTAGGAGACTTGGGCTGTGGTAACTTATATGAATTACGAACTTGCTTTTTTTGAGACGGAGTCTCACTCTGTCGCCCAGGCTGGAGTGCAGTGGCGCGATCTTGGCTCACTGCAAGCTTCGCCTCCCGGGTTCATGCCATTCTCCTGCCTCAGCCTCCAGAGTAGCTGGGACCACAGGAGCCCACCACCACACCTGGCTAATTTTTTGTACTTTTAGTAGAGACGGGGTTTCACTGTGTTAGCCTGGATGGTCTGGATCTCCTGACCTCGTGATCTGCCCGCCTTGGCCTCCCAAAGTGCTGGGATTACAGGTGTGAGCCACTGCGCCCGGCCAGATTAAACTTATTATAGGTTGCACATCTCTAACCCAAAGGGCTCCAAAATCTGAAACTTTTCAAGCACCCACCACAAGTAGAAAATTCCACACCTGACCTCATGGGACAGGTCACTGTCAAAACTGTGGCTCACGCCCAAATGACAAAATACATAAAATTACTCTCAGGCTATGTGCATAAGATGTCTATAAAACATAAATGGATTTTGTGTTTACACTTGGGGCTCATTCCCAAGGTCTCATTATATTATGAACATGCAAATATTCCAAAACCTGAAATCCGAAACACTTCTGGTCCCAGGCATTTAGGATAAGGAATACTCAACCTGTGTTACTTGTGTAGTAGAACAGAAAACACAAGAAGGTTTTTTTTTTTTTGAGACAGAGTCATACTCTGTCATCCAGGCTGGAATGCAGTAGCATGATCTTGGCTCACTGCAACCTCTGCCTCCCAGGTTCAAGCAATTCTCGTGCCTCTGCCTCCCAAGTAGCTGGAATTACAGGTGGGCGCCACCACGCCTGGCTAATTTTTGTATTTTTAGTAGAGATGGGGTTTCACCATGTTGGCCAGGCTGGTCTGGAACTCCTGACCTCAAGTGATCCACCCGCCTCGGCCTCCCAAAGTGCTGGGATTACAGGTGTGAGCCACCGTGCCCAGCCAGAAAAAAAGTTAAAAAAAAATAAATCAGAGCTCCTACTATTGCGAAGCAACCCTGCGAGCCCGCCACACACTGTGCAGCTGTTGATGAGCACGTGGGGGTGGCATGGGGGCCAGGGTTCCCACCCACCACCAGCATCTGAAGCACAGCACCCCCAGCCAGTAGCTTCAGGTTTTCCAGGTGAATCTCTCTTGGATGCCAACAGTTTCTACAAAGCAGTGTGGGCACCTCTGCGTCTCTCCCGGGGTTCAAAGAAGCACAGGAGCTTCTGACCCAGGGCCTTCCTCAGGACGGCACGGTGGCTACTCTGTGAGAGGCTTTCCCTGCTGACCCAGAAAACAAGAACAAGGCAGGTTAGGCCGGGCTTCAGCCACTGTCCAGGTAGACGATGAAGGAACGAAGGACAGTTCTTCTGCTGGGTCCCGTGCTGGGAACCCCTCTCCTCCATCTAGAACTGCTTGCAATGGGAAGACCCTGAACTTCCCTTTTTTTTTTTTTTTTGAGACAGAGTTTTGCTCTTGTTGCTGCCCAGGCTGCAGTGCAGTGGCGCAATCTCTGCTCACTGCAACCTCCACCTCCCGGGTTCAAGCGGTTCTCCTGCCTCAGCCTCCCGAGTAGCTGGGATTACAGGCATGCGCCCACTACGCCCAGCTAATTTTTGTATTTTTAGTAGAGACAGGATTTCTCCATGTTGGTCAGGCTGGTGACCCTGAACTTCTTGAAGAGAACAAGGGCACACAGAGGCCAGGGCAGAATGCTGATGTCTGGATAGGGTGTAATAAATACGCACTGAATGAACTCAAGTTTTACTTGCTGGCCAGGGAGGAAGTAGACGGAGAAATCCCTCCCCCAGGCTGAACAGGGGACAGGACTTAATACGCTGGCTTCTGACTCGGGGCATTTGGATGTGAAGGAAGGAGGAAGGAGAAGGGAAAGGTTTGTGCCTGGAAGGTCTGGGTCAGCCTCTGTCAACAAGGTTTACCCAGAGCCAGGAGAACAGAGCGACTGAACCACTCACAGCGGCAGGTCTGAAGGAGGGAGAGCCTTGCCAAAGCTGAAGCTTCCTTGTTTTGAGAGGGCCATGTCCCCAAAGCTGATGCAAAATCCGTGGATGCATTCCGAGGCCACGGTTTGACAAGAAAAGAGAACAGCTGCAGCCCTGTTCCCAGCCTGGGCTCACTTTCTCGCCTGGAGTCCCTCAACCACGGGGCAGCAGCAACGTCTCCATGTACGCAGGGGGGTGCTCAGAGGCGCACCTCTGAAGGTCAGAAACGGAATGGGCACACCCAGGCAGGGAGATGCCAGCTGCTGGGTGGTTGGGAACCCAGAGCGGACACTGGCAGCCTGGAGTGAGTCCCTCAACTCCACAGGGCAGATGCCCCGCTCAGGGGAAGGGCCCGTCAGCCTCCCCATGGGAATGGAATTTGTAGCTGTGACTCATACAGAATGTTGGGCAAGAACAGAACCAGGAAGGCAGGACTGGCCTGCAGGGGGTACAGGCCTGTGATATCCGGGCAGGGTATTCCAGCCGGAGCAGCCTGGCTCTGTGTTGGGAGGCAAGGTGGCTAGAGATCTCGAAGCACTCACCAACAAACTCATGTATTCTTCCTCCAGGGTAGAGAACTAGACTAAATGTACAGTCCAGGGTATAGAACTAGACTAAGTGTGGCCAGGCACGGTGGCTCATACCTGTAATCCCAGCACTTGGGGAGGCTGAGGCAGGAGGATCACCTGAGGTCAGGAGTTCGAGACCACCCTGGTCAACATGGCGAAACCCCGTCTCTACTAAAAATACAAAATATTAGCCGGGCATGGTGGCAGGAGCCTGTAATCCCAGCTACTCGGGAGGCTGAGGCGGGAGAATCACTGGAACCTGGGAGATGGAGGTTGCAGTGAGCTGAGATTGCGCCACTGCACTCCAGCCTGGGCCACAGAGTGAGACTCTGTTTCAAAAACAAACAAAAAGAGAACTGGACTACGTATACTAAACGTATAGGTGGCCCTGTGCCCAGGTTCTAGTCTTTGAAAGATCAGCAGAGGTGACATTTGCAGCTTCTGGCCTGGCCCATGAAAACCTCACACCATGGGGCATGCCTCTCCCCTTCCGTGTCTGTATACAGCCAGCCAGGGTGACCTAAGCCGCCTTGTGGCGGCCTCCCCGTCAACCGGCTTGGAACCACGTAGGGGTCTGTGAGTGAGAAATAAATTCCTGTTATGTTTATATCAAACCACCACATTGTGTACTTTGAGGCAACCCTAAAAGTACCTAAGAGGTCAAGTCTGCTGAGCCCCTTGGAGACAGTTTCGGTTTCATTCATTTGTGATAAACTAACAAAAATAAAAAACTCCAAAGCAGAGAAAGAAAAACTAAGATAACAGAAAATAACCCAGAAACTCAACTGCAGAATGTGTTCCTGAGGAAACAGAAAAATCTGGAAAAGTCTAAGAAAAAATTTTCAGAAACATAACGGAAGGAACAGCGTAAATTTAAAAATAACCCAACAGTAACTTGTCAAAACGGAGGATGATGAATTAGAGCAGCAGATATAAAAATAGTCATTGAAACAAAACACACTTTGGAAGATGGAACCCAGAACACCTCAGAGAGGGATGAGGAGAGAAAGCCCTGAAGTGATAATGGCTTCATTCCTTCCCCAGAAATGAAAAGGCACACCAGCTATAAAGCAGGATAAACGAAAACAAAGCTTACCCTAGACTCATTGTGCTGAGAGAGAACAGATAGAATACCTGACCAGAGGTAACATTAGAGAGATGGCAGCCTTCCCCTGAGCAAAAACACAACGACCAGCGCTGCCACTCTTCAAAGCAACAAGATCAAGGCTGGGCGTGGTGGCTCACGCCCGTAATCCCAGCAATTTGGGAGGCCGAGGCAGGTGGATCACCTGAGGTCAGGAATTCCAGACCAGCCTGGCCAACAGGGTGAAACCCCATCTCTACTAAAAATACAAAAATGAGCTGGGCATGGTGGTGCGCACCTGTGATCCCAGCTACTCAGGAGGCTGAGGCAGGATAATTGCTTGAACCCAGAAGGCGGACATTGCTGTGAGCTAAGATCATGTCAATACACTCCAACCAGGGCAACAGAGCAAGACACTCCATCTCAAAAAAAAGGCTGGGCGTGGTGGCTCACACCTGTAATCACAACACTTTGGGAAGCCAAGGCGGGTGGATCACCTGAGGTCAGGAGTTCAAGACCAGCCTGGCCAACATGGTGAACCATCATCTCTACAAAAATTAGCCACACACGATGGTGGGTGCCTGTAATCCCAGCTACTTGGGAGGCTGAGGTGGGAGAATCGCTTGAATCCAGGAGGCAGAGGTTGCAGTGAGCTGAGATCGTGCCATTGCACTCCAGCCTGGGTGACAGAGTAAGACTCCGTCTCAAAAAAAAAAAACAAAAACCTACACAAAATCAACCTATCCCTTGCTGCCCAGCTTAAACTAGAGGACAAAAGAAAGATTTCCATACAAAGCCTGGCAGCTTTCCATCTATACATCCTGGCTGCAAAAACTACTAAAAAACGTACTTCAACAACAAGAAAATAAACGTATAGGAAACAAGCAAAAGGAACCATTAGGCAAACCAAACACTACTCCCCACCTTCCTTTTTTTTTTTTTTTGAGACAAGGTCTGGCCTTGTCGCCCAGGCTGGAGTGCAGTGGCGCTATCACTACTCACTGTAGCCTCGACCTCCCAGGCTCCATCCTTCTGCCTCACCCTTCTGAGTAGCAGGGACCACAGGTGTGCGCTGCTATGACTGGCGATTTTTTTTTTTTTGTAGAGATGGAGTTTTATTATGTTGCCCAGGTGAGTCTCCAACTCCTGAGCTCAAGCGATCTGTCCACCTTGGCCTTCCAAAGGCTGAGATTACAGGTGTGAGTCACTGCATCTTGCCAGAAAATAGATACATATTTTTTATAACGGTAAAATGGCCAGGTGCGGTAAGTCACACCTGTAATCCCAGGGCTTTGGGAGTCCGAGGGGGGTGGATCACCTGAGGTTGGGAGTTTGAGACCAGCTTGACCAACATGGAGAAACCCCGTCTCTACTAAAAATATAAAATTAGCCGGGCATGCTAGCGCGTGCCTGTAATCGCAGCTACTTGGGAGGCCGAGACAAGACAGAATTGCCTGAACCCGGGAAGCGAAGTTTGCAGTGAGATGGCGCCATTGCCCTCCAGCCTGGGCAACAAGAGTGAAACTCCATCTCAAAAAAAAAAAGGTAAAATGAATCCTACATGACTATGACAGGGAAACTAGAAGGGGGCCTTCAGAGGGTATTCCAACACTGGTTGTAGCTATTTAACCTTGTTGTTTTACTAAAAGATCAGATAACCTCCAAGTCAGTGGCGGAAAACGGAGGACAGAGCGGGAGCTGTCGGGAAGAGTGATACCAGGACAAGCCGACTTACAAACTGCCCCTCGTCGATGCCTATGACAGCCACGCCCAGGGCCTCCTGGGCCGCGTCTCGGAGCAGGCAGGCGGGCAGCGCCTCCATGGTGTTCCTGGGAAGAGAAAGCCAGAGCGTGAGCAGGCACAGGGAGGCCAGAAGCCAGAATGCAGAGGCCAGGGAATGGCACTGTCGCGACCACTCGCTACCTGCAAAGCAGGCTTAGTGTTCACCCAGCCGGGCTTTGAGAAGTTAGCACCTATGAGAAAGGCCCTTGTTCAGAAAACCAGTTATTTATTTTTTTTTTGAGACAGAGTCTTGCTCTGCCGCCCAGGCTGGAGTGCAGTGGCGCCATCTCGGCTCGCTGCAATCTCCACCTCCCAATTCTCAAGGGGCTCAAGCGATTCTCCCACCTCAGCCTCAAGAGTAGCTGGGACTACAGGCACACACCATCACACCCAGCTACTTTTTGCATTTTTAGCAGAGATGGGGTTTCACCATGTTGGCCAGGCTGGTCTCAAACTCCTAACTTTTAAGTGATCCACCCGCCTTAACCTCCCAGAGGAAAACCAGTTATTTATACAAGCCACTTCACTTGATGTTTTGGATTAGAAATTAGTAATGTCCAATACAAAGCTCAACGAGACTAAAAACTCTTCCACTGTTTGGCAGACAAGGCCAACTTCATCAGTTACCAGGGCCCATGATACCATTAGGGGTCAGCCAAGTTTCCTTTTTTTTTTTTTTTTTTGAGGCGGAGTCTCGCTCTGTCGCCCAGGCTGGAGTGCAGTGGCCGGATCTCAGCTCACTGCAAGCTCCGCCTCCCGGGTTCCCGCCATTCTCCTGCCTCAGCCTCCCGAGTAGCTGGGACTACAGGCGCCCGCCACCTCACCCGGCTAGTTTTTTGTATTTTTTTAGTAGAGACAGGGTTTCACCGTGTTAGCCAGGATGGTCTCGATCTCCTGACCTCGTGATCCGCCCGTCTCGGCCTCCCAAAGTGCTGGGATTACAGGCTTGAGCCACCGCGCCCGGCCCAAGTTTCCTTTTAAAATTCAGAAGAGGCCGGGCGCGGTGGCTCACGCCTGTAATCCCAGCACTTTGGGAGGCCGAGGCGGGCGGATCACAAGGTCAGGAGATCGAGACCATGGTGAAACCCCGTCTCTACTAAAAATACAAAAAATTAGCCGGGCGCGGTTGTGGGCGCCTGTAGTCCCAGCTACTCGGGAGGCTGAGGCAGGAGAATGGCGTGAACCCGGGAGGCGGAGCTTGCAGTGAGCCGAGATCGCGCCACTGCACTCCAGCCTGGGCGACAGAGCGAGACTCCGTCTCAAAAAAAATAAATAAATAAAATTCAGAAGAATGAATAACTAGAACTGGGCCTGGGTTATATTTGTCTTTATATCAATTATGTTACAAAATAGAAATTTTTAAAATCCTGTATTCTGGCCAGACACAGCAGCTCATGCCTGTAATCTTAGCACTTCGGGGAGGCCAAGATGGGAGGATCATTTGAACTCAGGAGTTCAAGACCAGCCTGGGTCGAGGCCAGCGAGACACTATGCGACAAAAAACCTAAAAATCAGCTGTGTGTGGTGGTGTGCACCTGTAGTCCCGCCCACTCAGGGGGCTGAGGTGGGAGGATCACTTGAGCCCAAGGGTTTGGGGTCACGTAACAGTAAGCTATGATTGAACCACTGCACTCCAGCCTGCGTGATAGAGACAGACCCTGTCTCAAAAACAAACAACAAACTAACAAAAAAACAACATTTGACAACTATTGTTTCGTGATTACCTTGCTATAATCCTACTTCGAGTTCTGGAAAAAACGTGTGAAATAGTATTTTGCGCATTTTAAATTCCCTCTTCCCTCCCTAAACAGAGAAAGACAAGTGAGGGCAGGTGGGAGGCCAGCTGTGGGCCCTGCAAGGGCAGCCTCTCTGGAGCTGTCAATGCTGCTGGCCCAGCCTTGGCCTTGGCCTCTGTGACCATCTCTATGTTAGAAATGACTTGTGACACACAAGGCAGAGCTCATATTTAATCCTGGATCTGACTGACTCCAGAAGTTGCACTTCCAACAGCTGGAACGGAGTGACCTCCTCTGCTTTCCCTGTCCCCGCCAGGTGTAACACCACCCTGTGCTGTGGACATCGCATCTTAGGAATGAGGAAGCAAATTTGGAAAAGTAAATGACCTACATCAGACAGCACGGCCAGGAAGTACGGTTAAATCCCCACACGCAACTCCAAGCCCCAAGCACCCTCCACTCCACCACCGTCTGGCTTCAGGAGCCCCTCAGCTCCCACCTAAGGCCACATGCCGGGTGGATGCATTCTCTGCACAGCTGTAGCAACTCTCAGATACAGCTCCCAGCAAGGGCTCTGTGGCTGCAAGCTCTATAATGTGTGGCACAGCATGGCTTTGCCACTGGGTGTCCAGGTGGACAAGTCCAGAGGACCAAGCAAAGCGTCTCAGGCTCAGAAACACCAGGCCCACATCTGCTGCCAAGGAAGTGAATTTAACTCCCAACCTGAGGTTGCAGGTGGAAACGTCCAGCGATCTCAAATAGCTACACATAAAAAGAGGCAGCGTGAAGGCTGCCAGGTGACCAGGACCCAGCCAACAATGGACAACTAAAAAATTAAACAAAAATCTGTGTGCAGGCCAGATCAAACCAGTTTGCAGCCTGTGTGAAGCTGAATCCCTACAGCAGAGTTTCTGAACGTTGGCAGGTTCGTGACATTCGGGGTCAGCTCATTCTTGCATGGGGGCCATCCTGTGCACCGCAGGACTCTTAGCAGCGGTGTCCCTGATCTCTACACATGAAAGCCCAGTAGCATCCACTCCCCTCTCCGGTTGCAACAACTAGAAACGTCTTCAGACATTGTCAAATGAACCCTGGGGGCAAAATCACCCGCAGTGGAGAAGCACTGGCTCCAGCCCAGGGAATGGAGAGTGTGCGCTGCCTTGCCAAGCACCTTGGAAAGTGTGCTGATTTGAATCGTTCAATGCCAGGTCAGCGTGATTAACCATCCCCACTAAAGACAGTTCTAACAGTGCGTCCTGTGCCTTGTGATTTTCCACTGGGCAGGACTGCAAGGGGCAGGGACTGACCGGTCATGTGTGCAGAAGCTGCTGCTGTAGCGAGTGTCTTTGGCATACTTGATCACCAGGCACTTGTATTGAGCAACCTGGAAGCGACGGACACGTCTCATCAACTCTGTGCTGCAAGAGGAGAGAGGGTCAGGTGAGGTCCACAGCAGGAGGAGTGGGAGGAGAACCCTCCCCGATAAGCCTGGCTCCTCATAGCCCCTAGTGTTCTGCAGACTGAGCCCACCACAGCCGGAAAAGAGCAGGGCAGAGCAGGCAGGGTGTAATATCCCTACAAAGAGGGTTGGAAGTCAGAATTCCCTATGGGGAAGAGGTCCAGGAATGGTACTCAGGTGGTCCCAGGAAGTGTGGGAGGAGTAACCTTCTCCAGGATGTAATGGGGAAGGCAGAGGCAAAGGCTACATGTAGAGGGGGAACTGCGACTGCATTCCAAAGTAACCTCATTCCAGAGTTGTTCCCAGAGTTCAGAGCTTTTCTTTTTTCTTTTCTTTCTTTTTTTGAGATAGAGTCTCGCTATGTGGCCTAGGTTAGAGTGCATTAGCGCAATCTCAGCTCACTGCAACCCCTGCCTTCCGGGTTCAAGAGAGTCTCCTGCCTCAACCTCCCGAGTAGCTGGGATTACAGGAGCCTCCCACCATGCCCAGATAATTTTTGTATTTTTTTTCAGTAGAGACATGGTTTCACCACATTGACCAGGGTGGTCTCAAACTCCTAACCTCAAGTGATCAACGCACCTCAGCAATCCAAACTGCTGGGATTAAAGGCGTGGGCCACCACGCCCGGCATAGAGCTTCTCTAAATTAATTTCAGAAAGCCTTTGTGTGCAGTGTCAAAAGTACTTGCTTCTGCATCCAAGAAGTCCAAATCTGAGCCTCATCATCCTGAGCAAGGAGTTTGAGCTGAAGTGATCCCCAGGGCCATAAAATAATGTTGGGGCAGGGCATGGTGGCTAACGTCTGTAATCCCAGCACTTTGGGAGGCCGAAGCAGGAGGATTGCTTGAGACCAAGAGTTCAAGACTGGCTTGGGCAACATAGCAAGACCCCAGCTCTACAAAAATAAAATAAAATTAGCTGGGTAGGGGGTGCACGCCTGTAGTCCCAGCTACTTGGGAGGCTGAGGTGAGAGAACTGCTTGAGCCCAGGAGTTTGAGACCAGCCTGGGCAACAAAGCAAGATCCTATCTCTACAAGAACAAAACAAAACAAAAAGAATGGTGGGTGGGTAGTTTACTCAGGAAACTCACTAACTTGCCCCACCTGGGTCAGGGAATGGTTCTGTCACCTCAGGAGAGCAGAGGCTCCATGGCTTCAGACTCCTTGGTGCAGAAAGCGACTGCGTTTCCTTGGCCTTATAAGGAAACAGCCACATTGAATAGAGGTGTACAAAAAGGCCTGGCCCACAGTGGACACAACTGGTTGCCACCTTCTCAGAGGACTTGGTGGGGAGGAGTGCTAAGCTGTAACCAGCTGTGACCAGCTCCAGGAGGGAGTGGCCTCCACACAGGAGAAGGGGCTTGGCCGGGGCAGAAGGGGGCGGAGACTTCCTCCTGGACCGAATTCAAGGGAGGAGGAGAATCCCGGGCGGGAGCTGTGGGAAGCTGTGCTGGTCCTAGGGGAAGGGAAGGGACAGGGGTCCCCGGAGAAGAAGAAGGAGATCCACCCCAGCCCCGCGAAGCCATTACCTTTTTCCTGAGAACATCGGCCCGAGAATCACCTAGGAGAGAAGATGAGGTCATTTGGGGGCCCGCCCTGCGCGGATGCCGGGGCACAGGCTATCACCACGACCCCCTCATCCCCAGTCACGCGCAGGGCTGACCCCCGCACCTGGATCTGCCCCCGGGTCTTGCTGGGGGAGCCGGGCAGCACGGTGGGCAGGTTAATGCAACTCATGGCGCCTCCGGGAAGTTCACGGATCCAAGGGTTCTCCACCGCGGTCCCGCAGTAAGTCCCTGGTTCCCGCGCCACCCGCTTTAAACCACGGCGTGCTGGCCAATCACGAGTCGGTCCCGCTGCCCTGGGGCCAATCAGCGCCCGGCCGCCGACCTGGCGGGAGATTTGACCACAGCCCGCCCCCTCGTGGGAGGGATCCGGGAAGTGCGCCCAGGGACTGGGAGGGCCCAGTAATCAGGGGGATGGACGTGGCTGATCGGGATGTGGCCTGGCCTGAGCCCCGCCTCTCTCCGCCCACTAAATTTAAAGGCCAAGCGAGGCGGGGCTCTGGCAGTATAAAGAAGCGACACGCACGTCGGCTCTAGACACCGCGATGGCTATCTCAGATGTGGGTCTCCCAGGCGAGGTTCCTTGGAAGAAGATGTCTGCAGAGGTAGACGGATTGCAGGGAGGGACTGAGGGGCTGGGGCAGAGTTAGCTCATTGATCAGATTGGAGTTCTAAGAAGGAAGCTTAGAAGCCGTGCAGACCACTCCTGTGGGCATGCTGGGCGCCTGGTGTGTGCCAGGCCCCCAGTGCTTGAGCACCGTGGTGATTTTACCTTCTCCTTTGTTAGCCTGACTCTCAGAATAGAGAAAATTGAAGTCCTGGCTATGCTAATATCCGTAGGCCCTGCCGGGCGTGGTAGCTCAAACCTGTAATCCCAGCACTTTGAGGTCAGGAATTCAAGACCAGCCTGGCCAACATGGTGAAATCCCGTCTACACTAAAAATACAAAAATTAGCCGGGCGTGGTAATGTATGTCTGTAATCCCAGCTACTGGGGAGGCTGAGACAGGAGAATCGCTTGAACCCAGGAGGTGGAGGTTGCAGTGAGCTGAGATCATGCCATTGCACTCCAGCCTGGAAGTCTGGGTGATAAACCAAGACTTCATCTCAAAAAAAAAAAAAAAAAAAAAAAAATCCATAGACCCACAGGAGGTTAGGGGTCAAAGTTCTGGACCTTGAACTGAGGTTACACAATGTTTTTGGGTCTCTGTTTATATGGCACAGGCTGAAGGATTCAAAACAGCTGGTATTTACATTGGGGTTGTTGTGAAGGTTAGAAACATACAGGCTGGGTGCAGTGGCTCAAAAAAACAAAACCATTATATAATCATGATCATAAATAATAGCAACAAAGATGGTGGTAGTGATCACAGAGTGTGCCATGTGTGGCTGTAAGGATCCTACAGGTAATAACCTTTCCAGGTACCGATTGGACAGATCCAAGGATCTCTTACAGGGGCCCCTTCACTGGGAGGAAGAAGAAACCTACATTGAGTGACTCGCTTTATTTCACTTATTTCACTCACATGCCTTATCTCTTTTAACCTTGTGATTTGGATAGATGCCTTCTATTTTCTTTCTTTTTTTTTTTTTTTTTTAGACACAGTCTCGTTTTGTCACCCAGGCTGGAGTGCAGTGGCATGATCTTGGCTCACTGCAACCTCTACCTCTCGGGTTCAAGTGTTTCTCCTGCCTCAGCCTCCCGAGTAGCTGGGATTACAGGCACACTGTAGCTGGGACTACATGCCTGGCTACTTTTTGTTTTTTGGTTTTTTTTTTTTGAGACAGAGTCTCGCTCTGTCACCCAGGCTGGAGTGCAGTGGCACAATCTCGGCTCACTACAACTTCCACCCCCCAGGTTCGAGCGATTCTCCTGCCTCAGCCTCCCGAGTAGCTGGGACTAGAGGCACCCACAACTACACCCGGCTATTTTTTTTGTAATTTTAGTAGAGATGGGGGTTTAACTGTGTTAGCCAGGATGGTCTCGATCTCCTGACCTTGTGACCCACCCGCGTCGGCTTCCCAAAGTGCTGGGAGCCACCGCACCCAGCTAATTTTTTCTTTTTTTTTTTTGGAGACGGAGTCTCGCTCTGTTGCTCAGGCTGGAGTGCAGTGGCGCAATCTCGGCTCACTGCAAACTCTGCCTCCCAGGTTCATGCCATTCTCCCACCTCAGCCTCCTGAGTAGCTGGGATTACAGGCACCCGCTACCACGCCTGGCTAATTTTTTTGTAATTTTAGTAGAGACAGGATTTCAGCATGTTAGCCAGGATGGTCTCGATCTCCTGACCTTGTGATCTTCCCGCCTCGGCCTCCCAAAGTGCTGGGATTACAGGCGTGAGCCACCGTGTCCGGCCTGGATAGACGCCTTCTACCAGTAAGGGAACTGAATCCCAGAGACTAAGTAACTTGTTCAGGATGAAACAGTAAGTAAATGAAGGAGGTCAGATGGCATTTGACCTCAGGCTTTTCCATGAGGCCGCCCTGACTTCCCATTTCTCATGATGGCTTTGAGCCCTTTCTTCAAAATCTGGTTCCTTGTTACTTTTTTTTTTTTTTTTTTTTGAGATGGAGTCTCGCTGTTGTTACCCGGGCTAGAGTGCAATGGTGGGATCTCAGCTCACTCACTGCAACTTCCGCCTCCCAGTTTCCATCGATTCTCCTGCCTCAGCCTCCCGAGTAGCTGAGATTACAAGCGTCCGCCACCGCGCTCAGCTAATTTTTGTATTTTCAGTAGAGACGGCGTTTTGCCACGTTGGCTAGGCTGGTCTGAAACTCCTGACTTCAGGTGATCCACCCACCTCGGCCTCCCAAAGTGCTGGGATTACAGGTGTGAACCATTGGGCCACCTGGCCTCCCGTGGTCATAACTGCTGTGGGAGTGGTGCCCATGATGGCATTAACTGGATTCGTTTGGGGGACCTCATATCCCCTTAAGGCTGCCAGCTGGCTAAAGGCCCAGCGGTCGCTGGTATACCTCTAGACCATGGATCCAAGTGTATCCTGGAGACCCTGGAATACTGGGGAGGGGGCTTCTAAGGCAGAGAGGAGCAGCCGGGCATGGGCGAGGGGGAGGGGCATGCTCTGTTGAGAAGGAAAGTCTTACAGAGCCTCATGTTTGTGTCCTGCAGGAGCTGGAGAATCAGTACCGTCCCAGCCAATGGGTTGTCCGACTGGGAGCAGAGGAAGCCTTGAGGACCTACTCACAGATAGGAATTGAAGGTACTGGTGTGACCTCTCCGTGACTGCATTGGGTGGCCTTTAGCATGTGGCAGTGGTTCAGAATGCTGGGGGTTGGAGTGCTGCACCACACCACCTGAGTCTCGAGGGGCATTTCCCAAACACCAGGCACTTTATAAACCTCTCTGCTTAGGGGCAGGTACCCAGGACCCCTTGCTGCAGGGACTGCTGGAGGCAGGAGAGGTCCAGGGGAGGTCCATGGCTCAGTCCACCATGCCTGGCCTTTCCTGCTCCGCCAACCATGCCTAGGCCCGTAAGGCTGTGGGCTGTGGTTGCCATAGGGAGGTGAAGTGAACAGAGGAACGTTCCTCCTCTGCAGCTGGATGTGGAATGCAGTCACTATTCATAGAAAGCAATACTTTGGGAGGCCAAGGCAGGTATATCACTTGAGTCCAGGAGTTCGAGACCAGCCTGGCCAACATGGCAAAACCCCATCTCTACAAAAAAATACAAGAATTAGCTGGACACCTGTAATTCCAGCTACTCGGGAACCTGAGGCATGAGAATTGCTTGAACCTGGGAGGCAGAGGTTGCAGTGAGCTGAGATTGCATCACTGCATGCCAGCCTGGGTAACAAGAGTGAGACCCTGTCTCAAAAAAAAAAAAAAAGCAATGGTGACTGAGTCTTGCTCTGTTTGCCCAGGCTGGAGTGCAGTGGCGTGATCTCAGCTCACTGCAAGCTCTGCTTCCTGGGTTCAAGTGATTCTCCTTCCTCAACCTCCTGGGTAGCTGGGACTACAGGCACACCCCACCACGCCCAGCTAATTTTTGTGTTTTTAGTAGAGATGGGGTTTCACCATGTTGGCCAGGATGGTCTTCATCTCTTGACCTCGTGATCTGGCCACCTCGCCCTCCCAAAGTGCTGGGATTACAGGCGTGAGCCACCATGCCCGGACTTTTTTTTTACTTGAGACAGTTTTCCTCTTGCTGCCCAGGCTGGAGTCCTAAGGTGCAATCTCTGCTCACCGCAACCTCCACCTCCTGGGTTCAAGCAATTCTCCTGCCTCAGCCTCCCAAGTAGCTGGGATTACAGGCCTGTGCCACCAAGCCTGGCTAATTTTGTATTTTTAGTAGAGACGGGGTTTCACCATGTTGGTCAGGCTGGTCTCAAACTCCTGACCTCAGGTCATCTGCCTGCCTTGGCCTCCCAAAGAGCTGGGATTACATGTGTGAGCCACCGTGCCTGGCCTTTCACCTTTTCTTTCTTTAAAGAAATCTGGACTTAGGAACCTGTAAACTAGTGAAGTCTTAAGGTCCATTTCTGTCTCTACCCCGTATCTGCAAAGTGCTGTACCACGATTTGAACACCTGGTAATGCATCTGTGCTGGGATGGGGAGCAGGCCCCAAGGAGGAAGCATGGGTGAGGAAGCAGCCAGCCATGCCTGGCAAATTGGCTCTGTTGCAGCAGGCCCAACACAGCCTTTCAGAGGCAGCTGCCTGGGCTCCTGGGCTTGGCGGTTTTCTAAACAGAGAGAACCCAGGAGGAAGAACACACTTGTTAGAAGTGTATTCCAGCATGTTCCACCATCCTTCTGTCTCAATAGATTGGGGTGGTACTGTTTCCTAGGCTCTTCACGGTTCCTTGCTATGCCCAGCTCTGTTCCAAATTCATCTCTATTTCCTCGATAAATATATGAGTGTGGTAAAACATGCAAGTGCTGTAAGCAAACCTTTTTGCCAGTCTTAATTGTCTTGAGTGACAAAGAGCTGACCCTAATGAGAAAGGAAGTCAGACATAAAAAGCACACACTATTAAACCTTCAAGTCATATGATTGAAAGGAAAATAAAAGGAAAAGATTTAAAAGAGAGAGCTGGGCGCGGTGGCTCACGCCTGTAATCCCAGCACTTTGGGAGGCCGAGGCAGGTGGATCACGAGGTCAGGAGATCGAGACCACGGTGCAACCCTGTCTCTACTAAAAATACAAAAAAATTAGCCAGGCGTGGCAGCGGGCGCCTGTGGTCCCAGCTACTCGGGAGGCTGAAGCAGGAGAATGGCGTGAACCTGGGAGGCGGAGCTCGCAGTGAGCCGAGATCGCGCCACCACACTCCAGCCTGGGCGACAGAGCAAGACTCCGTTTCTCAAAAAAAAAAAAGAGAGAGAGAGAGAGAGACCAGGAACTGTCACACACGCCTATAATCCCAGTACTGTGGGAGGTCAAGGCACGAGGATCCTTTGAGGCCAGGAGTTTGAGACCAGCCTGGGCAACATAGCAAGAACCTGCCTCTACAAAAAATTTAAAGGCGGCCGGGCGCGGTGGCTCAAGCCTGTAATCCCAGCACTTTGGGAGGCCGAGACGGGCGGATCACGAGGTCAGGAGATCGAGACCATCCTGGCTAACACGGTGAAACCCCGTCTCTACTAAAAAATACAAAAAACTAGCCGGGCGTGGTGGCGGGTGCCTGTAGTCCCAGCTACTTGGGAGGCTGAGGCAGGAGAATGGCGTGAACCTGGGAGGCGGAGCTTGCAGTGAGCTGAGATCCGGCCATTGCACTCCAGCTTGGGCGGCAGAGCGAGACTCCGTCTCAAAAAAAAAAAAAAAAAAAAAAAAATTTAAAGGCTGGGCATGGCTGCTTGCACCTGTAATCCCAGCACTTTGGGGGGCCGAGGTGGGCAGATCACCAGGTCAGGAGATCGAGACCATCCTGGCTCACACGATGAAACCCCGTCTCTACTAAAAATACAAAAAATTAGTCAAGTGTGGTGCGGGCGCTTATAGTCCCAGCTACTTGGGAGGCTGAGGCAGGAGAATGTCTTGAACCCGGGAGGAACTTGCAGTGAGCTGAGATGGTGCCACTACACTCCAGCCTAGGCGACAGAGCGAGACTCCATCTCAAAAAAAAAAAAAAAAAATTTTTTTTTAATTAGCAGGGTGCAGTAGTGTGCACCTGTACTTCCACCTACTTGAGAGGCAGAGGTGGGAGGATGACTGCTGCCTAGGAGTTCAAGGCTGCATATTTCTTTATGTACTGGGTTTTTTGTTTGTTTTTTCTTTGAGACAAGGCCTTGCTCTCTCACCCAGGCTGGAGTGCAGTGGCGTGATTTTGGCTCATTGCAACCTCTGCCTCCTGGGTTCAAGCCATTCTTGTGTCTCACATTCTTGTGTCTCAAGCCTCCTGAGTAGCTGGAATTACAGGCGCGTGCCACCATGCCAGCTAATTTTGTATTTTTAGTAGAGACGGGTTTCGCCATGTTGGCCAGGCTGGTCTGGGACTCCTGGCCTCAAGTGATCTGCCCGCCTCCCAAAGTGCTGGGATTATAGATGTGAGCCACCGTGTCTGGCCACACTTTTCCTTCTTTGCACCAGGGGGAATTATGTTTTTTTCTCATTTTTGATTTGTATTCGTCCTTACAATGCCAGCCTATTAACTTGCCATGAGGATTGTTCGCTTGTAATGGGTAGACAGCCTCATCCCCGTCAAGGCCTGGCCTCTCTTGTCTGGACTCAGGGAGAAAAAAGTCTGACCACTGTGTGAGTGTGGCCAGGGTGCAGTAGGCTGGCAGAGAAGGGGTTTAAAAACCATTTCCTTTACCACTAACTTTTAAATTAGTTTTACTGTGACCTTTATTAAAAATACTTTTTTTATTTTTAAGATAGAGTTTCGCTCTTGTTGCCCAGGCTGGAGTGCAGTGGTGCAAACTCGGCTCACCGTAACCTCCGCCTCCCGGGTTCAAGCGATTCTTCTGCCTCAGCCTCCTGAGTAGCTGGGATTACAGGCACATGCCACCATGCCCAGCTAATTTTTTATTTTTAGTAGAGACGGGGTTTCTCCATGTTGGTCAGGCTGGTCTCGAACTCCTGACATCAGGTGATCCACGTGCCTCGGCCTCCCAAAATGCTGGGATTACAGGTGTGAGCCACCGCACCCGGCCCAAAAAAACAAATTTTACAGTCAGCAAAATGCTGTATATATTTTTTATCCAGATACAAAAGTTAAATTCTGTATGATTTCATTTAAATGAGGTCCCTAGAGAAGTCAAATTAATAAAGACAAGAAATGGAATGGTGGTTGCTAGGGGCAAGGGGAGGGAGGAATGGGGAGTGAGTGTTTAAAGGGGACAGTTTCTTTTTTTTCTTTCGAGACAGAGTCTCACTCTGTTGCCCAAGCTGGAGGGCAGTGGTGCCGTCTCATCTCACTGCAACCTTCGCCTCCCGGGTTCAAGCAATTATTGTGCCTCAGCTTCCTGAATCGCTGGGATTACAGATGTGCACCACCATTCCCGGCTAATTTTTGTATTTTTAGTAGAGACAGGGTTTCACTGTGTTGGCCAGGCTGGTCTCGAACTCCTGGCCTCAGGTGATCTGCCCACCTCGACCTCCCAAAGTGCTGGGACTACAGGCATGAGCTGCCATGTGCGGCCCTGCAGTCCTGGTTTTGTTTTTGTTTTTTGGGTTTTTTTTTTGGCGGAGTTTCACTCTTGTTTCCCAGGCTGGAGTGCAATGGAGCGATCTCAGCTCACTGCAACCTTCGCCTCCTTGGTTCAAGCAATTCTTCTGCCTCAGTCTCCCAAGTAGCTGGGATTACGGGCATGTGCCACCACGTCCGGCTAATTTTGTATTTTTTTTTTTTTCTTTGAGACAGAGTCTCGCTCTCTTGCCCAGGCTGGAGTGCAGTGGCCGGATCGCAGCTCACTGCAAGCTCCGCCTCCCGGGTTTGCGCCATTCTCCTGCCTCAGCCTCCCAAGTAGCTGGGACTACAGGCGCCCGCCACCTCGCCCGGCTAGTTTTTTTGTATTTTTTAGTAGAGACGGGGTTTCACCATGTTAGCCAGGATGCTCTCGATCTCCTGACCTTGTGATCCGCCCGTCTCGGCCTCCCACAGTGCTGGGATTACAGGCTTGAGCCACCGCCCCTGGCCTAATTTTGTATTTTTAGTAGAGATTGGGTTTCTCCATGTTGATCAGGCTGGTCTTGAACTCCCGACCTCAGGTGATCCACCCGCCTCAGCCTCCCAAAGTGCTGGGATTACAGGCAAGAGCCA